AACCCCCCCTAGGATCGATCGGGGATCTCACAATGTAGCTCTACTAACACCTGCTTGACAAGATAGTCCTTGAGAGCACGGCGTGCGTTGCCCATATCAGCTTTTGCAACCCCCAACTGTCCTCAGTGGGGTCGTATCCCTTCCAGCGTATCAGGAACTCGAGAGTCTTGCCGCCGCGACGCCGATGAGAGAGAACGCGCTCCACTTCGTACTCGGGTTCATCCTGTATGAGAACAGGTGGTGGTGGCGGTAGCTGCCGTCCCTGGAACTGTTGGTTGGGGTCCTTGTAGGGCTTCAGTAGCTGAACATGGAAAGCATTGTGAAGCTTCCAAGTAGTAGGTAAGCGCAAGCGGAATGTAACTGGTGTCACCTGTGCCTCAACGAGAAAAGGACCACAGAAGCGAGGCCGGAGTTTGGATGGGAGGTGAGACAGGTTCAAGTTGCGCGTGTCAAGAAGCACCTGATCTCCGACTGCTACTGAGTGATCACGTCGCTGACGATCGGCATACTGCTTCTGGGAGGTCTGCATCGTGGTGAGTCGTCGCTGACTCTTCTCTCATAGCTGCTGCATGGTGGTGACGAAGTCATGTGCGGCTTGGACGTGTGCCGGTGTGGTTGGCTGTTGTGGTGTGAGTGGTTCCCATCCGTAACACAGGAAGAAAGGAGTTTTTCCTGTGGCCGCATGTGATGCGTTGTTGTAAGCGAACTCTAGAGTCGGTAACTGTGTGTCCCAGTGGCTGATGTCGTCCTTGCAAGCTGTGCGCAGTAACTGTTCAACCACTTGATTGAGTCGCTCTGTCTGTCCGTCAGTCTGGGGGTGGTATGCTGAAGACATTGCAAGTTTTGTCCCCAACAGTCCCATGAGCTCCTTCCAGAACTTACTGGTGAATTTGGGGTCTCTGTCTGAGATGAGTGTAGCAGGGATGCCGTGGATGGTGATGATGCGGTCGAAGAAGAGGCGAGCAGTTGCTTCAGCTGTAGCTGTGGCGTTGGTCGGTATGAAGTGACCCATTTTGGAGAACTTATCGATGACGACAAGGATGGAATCGTGCCCCCGTGAGGTCGAAGGAAGTCCGGTGATGAAGTCGAGGCTAACGACCTGCCATGGCTGCTCCGGTACGGGTAGAGGCTGAAGTAACCCTGCTTTTTTCTGCTTGCTACTCTTCATCCGCTGGCACGTGTCGCAAGAGGTGACGAACTGCTGCACGTCTGCTACCATCCCGGGCCAGTAGTAATACTTCGCTATCCCTGCTAACGTCTTGTTGCTCCCGAAATGTCCCGCGTAAGGTACGTCGTGAAACTCCTCCTATAGGATCTGTCGTAGCGGGGCGTAATTTGGTACCCAAATCTTTCCTGAACCCTTCCTTAGAGCTAAGTCTTTCTCCCACTGTAACAGCTTCTTGGTCTGTGCTGTAGCGATCTCTGCGTCCACGGAGTACCCATGTTGGAATAGACCCTTGAGCAGAGGGTTCATCCCGTCGAGCTGGATGCCTGCTACATGTCCTGTGCGGCTCAACGCGTTTGCTTTGTTGTGTAGCCCGGGTTTGTAGATGATGTCGTAGTGGATGTGGGTCTCCAAGAAGTCCACCCACCGCACCTGTCGTCGTGAGAGTGTTGGCTGCGACTTGTACTGCTCCAAGACCTCCTTCACTGCTGCAGGTAGCTCCGTGTTTGGCATCTCCTCCTCTGCTGCTGCCATAACCAGTGCTAGGTAACCCATGTTACTCTCGTTCACCGTCTGTTCGAACCGTGCCAGTGTCGTTTCAGGAATGCTCCCTGTATCCGTCCAGCTTCGCAGCTCCACTCGTTTCCCGTTGTTGTAGATGCACGCCTTCCTGTTGACCCCATCGATCTCGGGGTTGAGCCGCTTCAAGAAATCTCGCCCCAAGATGAAATCTAAACATTTGATGTTCGTGATCGGCAACGTCGCCTTCCACCTCAGCGCCCTAATGTGCAGCTGGAGTGATGCTTCGCCGTGGATGGGAAGTTTCGTACCGTCCACCATTGTTGCCGAGAACTTGGTCTACTCCGAAGATTCTCCAATTTTCTCCAACGTCCCGCGGTCGCACACCGAGTGGGATGCACCGCTGTCCACCAGTGCCTGGAGGCGTCGCCCGTTGCAGATCACCTCGAGTAGTAGTGGTTGTTGCTGCTCCGAGTAACCGTAGATAGTCTCGCTTATAGGATCGTAGGGTATGTCGAATAGATCATTCCTCGGTCCTGCGCTCGAAGCTGCTGACTCCATATCAGTTTCCAACTGAGTAGGGTTAGAAGGATTTATCCGAGGCCAATTCAGCTTCGTCATGGCCTGGAACCTTCCCTTAAGCCTTTGCAGTTGTGTGGGCTTATCCTGTGGGCAATGGGGAGCCTTAACACTTTGCTGCGGGGAGAGAATATGAACTCCTTGGAACGCACGACCCTTTTCAACGCTCCGTAGTGGTTTGCCCAACTTCTCAGGTACCTGAATAATGTCTGAAGGCTTTTTCTTGGCCTTGAAATCTCCCCTGCATTTTTTAAAGGCTTGAAAACCACGAGAAGCAATATTCTTCGTTAGAGCATCTTTGTAGGATACTTTTAACGAATTCTTACTTTCGTGGGGGTCCGGGTGGAGTTTCCCGGTCGGTGCAGAGTCTTTTTTCGCTGAGCCACCGGTCGCCTCGGCTATTTCCCCTGATGTCGGCCGGTCGTGACGTTTTATATTCGCGCCATCATTTTCTCCTTTTTTCGCCCGCTTCGAAGTCGCCACGTCGTCGCCCTTTTTCGCTTTTCGGATCTTTACGCGATCGCCAGTTCGATCCGCTACTACTGGCGATTCCCGTTTTTTTACTTCGGGGGTGCTCCACTGTTACCGTCCTGCATGATCGCACGTACTTTCTTCAACTTGTAGCACGACAAAATCGGATGCCCTGCTGCGCCGCAAAATTCGCATTTGGTCGGCTACCGCTTCGCGTCGAATTTCTCGATATCCATCGGTTCGATGAACGTGGGGGGTGCCGATCGCTCCGTGCCGAATGTACGGTTCGGCGTGAAACGTCGTGTTTCGGGTTGACTTCGGGTCAGCGTGTCGTAACGCTCGGCTGCACGCACGATGTCCTTGTAGCTTTCGTGATTTGACGCGATCACCTGCCGCTGAACCCCCAATTTTAACCCTTCTGTATAAGCCGTGATTTTTTCGCCTTCGGTCAGGTCGGGGATGCGGGTGAACAGGAGCTCCATCTGCTGCGTGTACTGCGCTACACTGCCGTACTGCTTGCGCCGATGAATTTGTTGCCGCGCCATATAGGTAGTATTAACCGGTTCGAAACGCCCGATAAATTCTGCCCGAAACTGCTGCCACGTTTTCTCCCCGCGGGCCACGTCAGTGTTGTAGATCCACTCGAGTGCTGGTCCGCGTAACAGTGTTGCTGCGAGCCGGATTCGTGCTGCGTCGTATGTCGGGGTCGAACAGCCAATGGCCTCGAAGTAGATCTCGAGGATTGCCACGAAACGCCAGACGTCGGATCCCTTTGCGCTTGGATCGAACGCTTCCGGGAGCCTCGGTCGTGCTGCTTCGAGGTTCGGCGTTGGTGGTGCCATTGGGCCGTGAAATATCGGTGTCGCCACTGCTGTTGGAATTGTCGGTGCTGCAGTGGTTGCAGTCGCTGCTGCTGTCGTGGCGAGCGTCGGGTGGCTTGTTAAAAAAGCCTCGAGTCGACGAAGCGTCGCTTGCGTCTGCTCCATGTCGGTGCGGAGGCTCGCGATGTCGCTCGTGGTCGCGTAGTTGTCGCCCTGGCCTTCCATTTGGCGATTTATAGGAAGATTTGCGACCAAAATAAATGAATTTCAGGCGCTGGTCATCTTACTGTGAGTCGAGTTGACTGCAGAAATGACGAGGGATGTTTCTGTAGGTCGCGTTATTCTCCCTTAGTCGAAATTCGCGTCTGATCTCGGCCGTTGAGAAGAAATTCGATCCGACGCTGCAAACTCCAACTTTTTTGGGCGAAATTCTCAAGGCCGTTGAGATTCGAATCGATCCGACGGTCGAAATTCCAACTTTTTCGCTTCAGGACCTGAGGAGTGTTCAAAAACCGGTTCGAGGGGGACGTTAGAAAATAGCGCGGAACTGGTTTACGTACCCGTATCGGCGCTTTCGTTGTAGCCCCCCGCGGGTTTTTAAAGGCCGGAACTAAGCGGTTGAAGACCTCGCGTGTAAACCCGCTCTAACTACCAAGTGTGAGGATCTAGGATCGAGCTTAGAAAAGAGAATGAAATTGAATTGAATTGAGAATGATCACCTGGGTACAACACGAGGCTATATATAGGCTCGACACAAAGCCCCGTAACCAGGTGTTACGCGAAGGTTCCGCGGGTCGCGTAGCGTCCCGAACAGATCCTTACCGAATTCGGTAGAAGGCAATTCGGTGGCAACCGAAAAGGCCAGAATTCGGTGCACGCAACCTAGCTCGGTGCTATAACTAAAATAAAATATAGGAAAGCACCTAGCCTAGGAAATCAAGCAATTCATGCATGCATATGATTATCCTATGCTAGAAATAGCATAATAAAGTAGAGGCAAGCAAGCATAGCTGGCATAAGCCGTCGTACTCTCACAGATGACCTCCAGCTGTTTCTCCAATGCGATAGGGCAGACGGACAATCTCTGTTCAATCTCACCTCTGGTGTCTCTCCTGCCTCGCCTGCTACTGCTGACAGCACTGTTCACTCACAGTGGGCCACACGCGATGCTGCTGCTCGCCTTGCTGTTCGTCGCCACTTATCGACCACTGAGCGTGCACACTTTAGCCAGTACAAGAGTGCTTGGACCTTGTACAACGCTGTAGTTGCACGCTACTCTTCCCCTGCCACTGCTGCACTGAGCCACCTCATGCTACCGTACCTCTTCTCTGACCTTGCTGCCTTTCCCACAGTCGCTGACCTCATTACGCACCTCCGCACTAGTGACACTCGCTACCGCGCTGTGCTTCCTGCTGAATTCTGCGCCCAGAACCCCCCCCCCCCCCATGTACATCACCCTCTACTACATAGTCACCCGGCTCTGTGAGTCTCTCCGCGTAGTAAGGGACGACTTCCTCTCCGTTTGCCCCACCACTCTCACCGTTGACCTCCTCGAGAAGGCCCTCCTAGCGATAGAGAAGAGCATAGTCGTTGTAGGAGCCTCTCGTGGTGACCCTCGCACCCCCGTCTTTGAGGGGTGTTCTCCCTCCCCCCTCTTGCCCTCTGTTGCCTCTGCTGCTGCAGCCGACCTCGTTGGCTTCGAGTCGGTCGGCGCTGCGTCTGCCCCAAGCGGGAGACGCCGCACCAGCAAGGGCAAGGGGGGCAAGGGCGCTGGAGGGGCTAGAGGGGGCGGTGGAGGTGGTGGTGGAGGCTGTGGAGGGAGTGGGGGTGGTGGTGGGAGTGGTGCCGGGGGTGGCGGCGGCGGCGGCAGCAGTGGAGGCGGCGGAGGCGGTGGTGGTGGCGGAGGGAGCAGAGGCGGCGGAGGGAGCGGAGGCGGCGGAGGGAGCGGAGGCGGCGGAGGTGGCGGAGGAGGCGGGGGTGGAGGAGGCGGCGGCGGCGGTGGTGGAGCGGGTCGCGACTCTGCGCAGAGGAGTGGCTCAGGTGGTGGTCCGCGCCAGCAGCAGCGGAGTGGTGTGACCCTGTCCCCTCAGCAGCTTCGTGAGTGGTACACTGCGCGTCAGCGCGGTGGGGGTTTTGGTCCCTTCACTTACGTCCTTCGTACCGGCGACCGAGCTGGTGAGCAGTGCGGAGGCCTGCACTCCACCCAGCGCTGCTTCGGTCGCCTGACGGACGCGTGGCATCGCCAGTTCCCTGAGGCGTCAGAGATCCCTCGCTGGGGAGATCTGGCCAAGGCAGGAGTTGCTATCTTTGATCTTGATTTTGATGCTATTCTTGCTGCCATGTATGCTGTTGATACTAGTGTTGGGGGTACTATTACCTGTGTGTACCGCCTGACCCGGGCATTGAGGCCGCTGCTCTAGGTACTGGTGAGGCTGCTGCTCTAGGTGCTAGTGCGTCTGCTGCCCCAGGTGCCAGTGCGTCTGGTGCCCCAGGTGCTGGTGAGTCTGCTCTCTCAGGTACTACGTCGGCTCAGGCCTTTCACACCTTCACCCTTGACTCGGGTGCGTCCCGCTCCTTCTTTCAAGACCGCACCACTCTTACGCCGCTCAGTCGGCCGGTTGCAGTCTCCCTGGTTGACCCCTCTAGGGGTCCTGTCCTTGCTAGCTACTCCAATATCTTACCGTGCCCGGCAGCCCCCTCTGGTACCCTGTCAGGTCTCTACCTCCCCTCGTTCTCCACGAACTTGGTGAGTGGAGCGGACCTATAGGATAGGCGGGTTGACCAGTTCACTCCTGCGAGTCAGCGAGTGACCCACTGCACGTGTGCTTGGACAGGCGGACACTGTCATAGTCATAGTAGGCTCCAATGTGCCTAAAACGAAAGATAGAGTGCACAGTCAGATTTCTGCACTGCGGCTTCAAACGTTCATAACGATCTGCTCACAACTCCAAACGACTTCATTCAACTTGGATCTAGAGCGTCTCAACGTCGCCTACAATAGATAATTTAAGTTGCACGTTTTCATTAAGAACTGACGACACAACGTTGGTTTGAACGAACGGCACTATGGCAGCAACATAGTCTTAGAACACAAGATAGGAAGAGTTAGAAAGAGTTACGAGTTGGGAATGACTCCCAGCTCCTACAAACCCCAAGAGCCAAGGTACAGTAATGTGGAACAGTGCCACACTGTCCCCAACCACGAAGGGTCTCGAAACTACCCTTCATTAGGGCCTACACCAAGTGAAATGTTACACTACACAAAGTAATGTAACTATCTTCAATATCTTGAGGTGCACCCTTTTGGCGAGCTTCGAAATCACTTGAGGCTTGACACCAAGGCTCGGGCTCTTCATCACAAACTCATCCTTGAGTTCTTGATGGGTCTTCTGCACACACCTGCGACACGCCGAACGTTCGACACAGGACAAAATAGAAACCGCGCACAACAAAATAGAAACCGCGCGCGAGACACAAAGGACCGCGTAACACGCGTCTAGCGATAACTCGCTATTGACTCGACACACACACTCGACATCATGACTCAACATTCACACACAATTATGAGCATGAAATATATATCATCCCATGCCCTCATACCATTCCATACACACACACATGCACGCACACTGACAACAAGCCGAGTGCAAACCGTAGGGTTGCACCAACAAGCTCCCCCTCAGATTGTTGGCCTTAGGACATGTTGCTCTTTCAGTTCAGAGCCATCCCAGTCAGCTTGCAACACTTCCAGTGCTGCTGCTCCACCAGCCTCTTAGTCATCATGTCAGCCGGCTGCCCCGTGGCCTTCACGTACCGCAATTCAACTTCACCCGTGGTCACCATGCTCCTCGTCCAATGCCACTTCACCCTCATGTGCTTTGTGAGTCCATGCAACACAGGGTTCTTAGCAAGAGCAATGGCACCCTAGCTGTCACAGTAGAGTGGGGTAGGTCCTTGCTGCTCCTCCCCCAATTCAGCCAACAAACGCCGCTGCCACACAATCTCCCGTACGGCACGGAAGAGTGCCATGTACTCGGACTCCACCGAGCTCAAAGCTTGGTCAACCTGCTTCTTGCTCTCCCAAGCAATTCGGCCTCCACCAACATAGCATATGAAGCCTCCCACACTTGTCATGTCCTCTGGTTCCGATGCATATGAAGCATCCGAGTAGGCGGTGAGGAACAAACGCCCGGGTTCAACACCATCCGCGCCCTTTGGCGCCTTTGTGCCGCCGCCGAGTATTGCAGCCCAACGGTCGGTGTACCCTCATTCCAGCTGCTACCTGCTCCTCATTAGGGCATTGCACAACCCTAGCCAGCTGCCCGGTAGCAAACGCGACGTCCGATCGGGTGTTTACCGCCGCATACATGAGGCTGCCCATCAACGAGTGAAAACGGCGCCTCTCCTCTTCTCCAACGCTCTCCTCCTCTGGCCCCTTCACACACTTAAGCCCAGAGGGAAAGGGAGTAGCCACATGACCTTCACTCTAGCCAAAGTTGGCGGCCAACGCCTCCAGGTACTTTTGTTGGTGCACTCGCATGCTCCGCTTCTCCACGTCTCGTTCGATGTGGAGCCCAAGGTAGAAGTTCACGTCATCAAGGGACTTTCACTTGAACTTTTCTTGCAGCTTCAGCATCACCTCCTTCACAAGGTTAGAAGAGGGTGAGAAGATGAGGATGTCATCCACGTACACCACCATGAAGCTCCTGTGCTCCCCCTCGCCAAGCATGAACAAGGAGTGATCGGCCGTTGAGGGAGTGAAGCCGATCCCCTCCAACACTTTGCGCAGCTTCATGTACCATTGCCTAGGGGCCTGCTTCAGCCCATAGAGGGCCTTCTTCAGCTTCCACACTCTGCCACTACCATCGTCAAACCCCTCTGGCTGCGCCATAAAAATCTCCTCCTCAAGGATGCCGTTAAGGAATGCCGTTACAATGTCCATTTGTTTTACTACCCATCCTTTGTTGGCGGCTCCCGCGAATAGGGTTCGCAGCGTCGTCGGCTTCACCACAGGGGCAAACAGCTCCTTGAAGTCCACCTTCTCCTTCTGCTGGTACCCCTTGGCTACAAGCCTAGACTTGTGGCGCTCGATCTTGCCGTTGGCATCCGACTTGATTTTGAAGAGCCACTTGGACGTTATCGCCGTACGCCCCTCCGGTAGCTCCACCAATTCAAACGTGTCATTCTCCTCGATGCTCTTCAGCTCACTCTCCATTGCCTTCTTCCACTCCTCAGCATCACTACTCTCTAAAGCCTCCTTGAGAGTTGCTGGTTCTCCCGGCATCTCCACCGGAGAGAAGAACGCGAAGGCACACTCCTCGTAGTCACTCTCCTCGTCGTCTCCGACCATCATTGCCGCTCCAGCCAGGGCTGTCTTGCCCTGCTTTCCCGGCGCATCATAGGTCAGCCTATTAGAGGGTTGATTTCTCCTCTTCCCCCTTTCTTCCTCCTTAGCTGCAGAGACTTGAAGGCCTTGGCGTTGCTGCGGTGTGGCTCGGATCCGTGGAGCGCTCGTAGTGCGGGAAGGAAGTGTCGGTGCACGCTCGCTCACTTGCTGCACCTCCTCCTCTTCTTCCTCTGCATCATTGGTCTCCTTTCCCCCATTCACAAGGGAGGATTGCCTTGTGGTTGTGCTGCCGCTGCTCAGCTCCAAAGGCAGCTCCACATGCTCCAAACCGGAACTCTTCACCTCCCCAAACCGCACGCATATCTTCGCCTCATTCTCCGCCTTCCAATCCTTGTACATGAAGTTCTCCATGAACTTGCAGTCCCTGCTCACCAAGAACTTCTTGGTGAATGGGTCCCAAAGAAGCCATCCCTTGCTGTTTTGAGCCATGCCCAAGTGCACGGCCCACACCGCCTTGGCACCAAGCTTGTTGTGCCGAAGATGCTTAGGCACGAGCGCCATCCACATACACCCGAACACCCGAAGCATATCCACCTTTGGCTTCCTTCCTAGCCACTCCACATAGGGCACCCATTTGTCTGCTCCCACATGAGTCAAGGCTCTGTTCTTGGCCACACACGCGCTCCGCACCGCATCAGGCCAGAAATAGTCGGGTAGCCCGGCTTCAATGAGCAACCCGCGTGCCGCCTCCGTGATTGTGCGATTCGCTCGCTCGGCGATGCCGTTCATTCCAGGGGAGTATGGCATGGTGAGGGAGTGCCGAATACCATTCCTCTTCAGCCACAACCTAAACTCCTTGCTCAGGAACTCTCCCCCATCGATCAGTGCGGATTGACTTGACTAGACGGTCTTGTTGCCGCTCCATCATCGGGAACCAATCCGTCTTCAACGTTTCAGCCACGTCGCTCTTCTTGGCCAGCACATACACCCAAGTCATGCGGGTGTAGACGTCGACAATGGTGAGAAAATACTCAGCTCCAGAAGCTCCAAGCTTCAGGGGGCCCGCCACGTCCATCACCACCTCATCAAGCGGTGCCTTAGCCGTCGCCTGCGAACTAGAGAACAGGAATCGGGTGAACTTGGCTTGCATGCACGTCGAGCAGCCAAGTACCTCATTGGGCTCCCCCTTCACACGTATGCCAGCAACCATCTCATTCTTCACTAGCTGCTGCAAGATGGGCAGGGCCACATGCCCCATGCGCCGATGCAAGGTGGGCCAATCACACTCCCCCGTAGCCGAAGTTGGATTGGAGAATGCGGCGCTCGCAATAGCGCCCCACATACTCTCTCTGTAGTCCTCCTTCGCTGCTCCCTCGGGGTTCTCCTCACCCTTTTGCTGCTCCTTGGTTGCTGCACCACTCTCCTTAGGTTCACTGAACTTGCTGGTCCCTCCAGGTTTGCTCTTCTTGAGCTCATTCTCCATAGCGCGACCGTTCGTGCCATCGTCGCTACCAGCCGCTCCATCCTTGGTGCTGATGCTTGCTGCCACTTGCCTCTCCTTAGGCATAGGGACCACTGGGATCTGCCACATCTCATTGTAGACATACTTGTCCTCATGAAGGTCCCAAAGAATTCGATCGCCAAGCCTTGCGGTGTAGGTCTTGGCTCCCTTCGAGTTCGTGTCCATGCCGGCCTTTGCCAACCGCCGCACGGAGATCAGGTTCGCAGCAAGGCTGGGAAACAAAGCACGTTCTTGAGGCCCACCATCTTCCCATCAGCACCCTTGAACATGGCCTTGCCCATGCCTTTCACCTCCGCTCGTTGCCCCAAAGCCGATGTGACATGCTTCACCGGTGACGGTTCGAGTTCAGTGAGCAAGTCCGGGCGAGGTGTCATGCTATAGGTAGCGCCACTATCGATCACCCAATAGTCCAGGGGGTGTAGGATCACCCTCCCCACAGCTGCTGGCTCCTCAAAGCCTTCATCCTTCTCTAGACCAGCTGGTACTTACGTCGACACGAAGTAGAATAGACCCGGGTACCGATCGTCGCTCGGGTCCTTGTCGTTGTCTCCGTTCTTCATGTTTGCAGCTCCGCCACCGCGACTGCCACGGCCTCCACTGCCTCTTCTTCTCCCTCCTCCTGCTCCTCTACCCTCCTGGCCTTGAGCAGGGGTCCATCCTTCAGGGAGTTTGAAGCAATCGCGCCACATGTGCCCGGTCTTGTGGCAATAGTGACATTCACCGTCAAATCGGTCGCGACTGCGACCGTAGCTCTTGCCGTCGCTGCCACTCCCGCGACCTCCACTGAAGTTGCTGCCACCAAACCTTCCTCCCCCTCGACCTCTGCCTCTTCCACGACCATATCCACGGCCGATGCTCGCTGCCCCTGCGCCATCCGCACTCGCCAACTCACGGCGGCGGAAATCCTCTTGAAGGATAGCTCGCTTCACGTCTTCAAGCGAGAGGCGGGGCAAGTCGCGATTCAGGTTGATGATGAGTGAGAACCATGACTCAGCGAGTAGGGCCAGCAACTTCGTCTTCTTTTGGAGCTCACTATAGTTCAAATCAGCTCCCTCAAGCCGAGTCAACAAGTCAAAGAATTTCTGCACCCCTTCTTCAACAGCTTCATCCTCTTCAATTCGTAACGACGCCATTTGCCGTTCCAACACCACAGCTACCGCCGCTGTTGCAAGAGCGTGTACACGCTTGAGAGCAGCCCATGCCTTTGGTCCTTTCTCTGGTTCACGCTGGAATGGCTTGATGTGACGGATCTGGCTGCTCCCCAACGCTTGCCCTAGTAGGAGGTAGCCTTGTGCGCTCTTCCGCACCCACGGGCTCTTCTCCGGGTCGTTCTCGGGACGCTTCTCCGTTCCTTCCATCACCTCCAGCAGGTCATAGTGATCAAACACGTTCTCCATTCTAAAGGACCACTCAGCAAAGTTGTCACCGTTGAACTTGTCAAGGCCAAACACTCTACGCTCGTCCCTAGATGGGCCAACACTTGGTTGCACGGGCGCCATGGCTGAGTCACGGGGTTGGCCTTGAGCTTGGGGCTTCTCCACTGCCACCAGCACCTCTGCCACCACTTTCCTCAGGTCCAGCCATTGTCGAAACTGCTCCAAGGGGCTCTGATACCACTTGTTATAGTCATAGTAGGCTCTAATGTGCCTAAAACGAAAGATAGAGTGCACAGTCAGATTTCTGCACAGCGGATTCAAACGTTCATAGCGATCTGCTCACAACTCCAAATGACTTCATTCAACTTGGATCTGGAGCGCCTCGACGTCACCTACAATAGGTAATTTAAATCGCACGTTTTCATTAACAACTGACGACACACCGTTGGTTTGAACGAACGGCACTATGGCAACAACATAGTCTTAGAACACAAGATAGGAAGATTTAGGAAGAGTTACGAGTTGGGAATGACTCCCAGCTCCTACAAACCCCAAGAGCCGAGGTAAAGTAATGTGGAATAGTGCCACACTGTCCCCAACAACGAAGGGTCTCGAAACTACCCTTCACTAGGGCCTACACGAAGTGAAATATTACACTACACAAAGTAATGTAACTATCTTCAATATCTTGAGGTGCACCCTTTTGGCGAGCTTCGAAATCACTTGAGGCTTGACACCAAGGCTCGGGCTCTTCATCACAAACTCATCCTTGAGTTCTTGATGGGTCTTTTGCACACACCTGCGACACGCCGAACGTTCGACACAGGACAAAATAGAAACCGCGCACGACAAAAGAGAAACCGCGCGCGAGACACAAACGACCGCGTAACACGCGTCTAGCGATAACTCGCTATTGACTCGACACACACACTCGACATCATGACTCAACATTCACACACAATTATAAGCAAAATATATATATTATCCCATGCCCTCATACCATTCCATACACACACACATGCACGCACACGGACAACAAGCCGAGTGCAAGCCGTAGGGTTGCACCAACAGACACTAGGCCACGTTCACCCGTCAGCCAGGGTCGAGCCTGTACACCCTTACTACTAAGTCCCCTCCGGCTGTTGAGTCTGCCCAGGTAGCTGCGTCGAGTCAGGTGTTTGCTGCGGCGTCCAGGTCTGGTCCTGAGTCTGCTCCCTGTCCCACCAGACTCTCCTTTGGCACCACCGCCTTGGTCACCCCTCCTTGCCTCGTCTCCGAGGCATGGCCTCCCGTGTCCTTGTCTCTGGTCTCCCTCAGTCTCTCCCTCCCCTTCCTCCGGGGCCTGGCCCTACCTCCTTCCCCTGCGTCGAGGGGCAACAGCGCGCCGCCCCTCACTCCTCCGAGTTTCCTCCGACAGAGGCTCCACTGCAGACTCTCCACATGGACGTGTGGGGCCCAGCCCGCGTTAGTGGGCAGGGGCGCGAGCGGTACTTCCTGCTGGTGGTTGACGACTACTCACGTTACACCACAGTCTTCCCCTTGCATAGCAAGGGTGACGTCACTGAGGTGTTGATCGACTAGATCCGCGCAGCTCGTCTCCAGCTCCGAGAGAGTTTCGGCTCCGACTTTCCTGTTCTGCGTCTGCACTCGGACAGAGGCGGGGAGTTTTCCTCTGCCCGTCTGGGAGCCTTCTGTCGTGCACAGGGCATCCGCCAGACCTTCACGCTTCCGGCCTCTCCACAGCAAAATGGGATTGCTGAGCACCGCATTGGCATGGTCATGGACGTTGCTCGTACGTCCATGATATATGCGGCTGCCCCCCATTTTCTGTGGCCGTTTGCGGTTCAGTACGCCGCGCATCAGCTCAACCTTCAGCCCCAGGTCTCCTTGCCAAAGACCTCCCCCGCCTTGCGGTGGACTGGGAAGGTTGGCGATGCGTCTGCGTTTCGGGTCTGGGGATATCGGGCGTTTGTCCGCGACTTGTCTGCGGACAAGCTGTCCCCCCGTGCTGTTCCCAGCGTCTTCCTTGGCTTCCCCCCTGACGCGCCTGGGTGACAGTTTTACCACCCCACCTCGCGTCGTGTTCTTTCCTCCCACGACGTCACTTTTGACGAGTCGGTGTCTTACCACCGTCTCTTCCCCTACCGCACTGCGCCTCTCCCCCCGCCGCCACTCTTCCTTGTACCAGGTCCTCCCCCGGTAGACCCCCTCCCCCCTCAGGGTCCTGCCCCGTCAAGTGTGTCCCAGGTAGACGCAGTCGAGCCTGTCGAGGTAGCTGTTGACTTTGGTGCTGCTAGAGGTGCTGGGCCTGCAGGTGCCGGATCTGGGGGTGCTGAGTCTGGGGGTGCTGAGACTGGGGGTGCTGAGTCTGGGGGTGCTGGGTCTGGGGGTGCTGAGCCTGGGGGTGCTGAGCCTGGGGGTGCGGAGCCTGGGGGCGCTGGGTCTGCTCGTGTGGCCGCCGGCGGTGCTTCGTCGAGACGGGAGCCGCTCTCTCCAAAGGAGCTGCGCGAGTGGTTTGCCCGCTGCTGGAGACGTGCTGCTGAGACTGGGGGTGCTTTTGGGGCTACTGGAGTTGGTCCTACTGGAGCTGCTAGGGGTGTTGGCGCTGTTGTTTCTACTGGCGCTGGTGCGTCTAGGGGTGTTGCTGAGGCTGCAGGAGCTGACGGTCCTACTGGAGTTGAGGCTGCTGGAGCTGGAGCTACTGAGGGTGTTAGCGCTGGTGTTTCTCCTGACGCCGGTGCGTCTGGGGGTGCTGGTGAGGCTACTAGAGCTGACGGTCCTACTGGAGTTGGCGCTGGTGGTGCTACTGGCGCTGGTCCTTCTAAGGGTGCTGGAGTTGGCGCTGGTGGAGCTGGAGGTGCTGCTGGCACTGGTACTGCCGCTGGGGATACTGTTGCTGTCCGTGCTGGTTCTGGAGGCGCTGCGCGGCCGAGGCCGTACTTCGTTCCGCTCCTGGAGCAGGTTCTTGGTCTCCCGCCCTCTACTGGTCCTGCTCCTCCCTTAGAGTGTCCTCAGCCTGTCCAATCGCAGTCACAGTTATAGCCCGCCTCCCCTCTCCCTGCTCCTTCTCCCTACACTGGTCCTACTGGAGATCTTGGTGAGCGTCGTGAGCCTGCGTCTCGTCCTGCGTCGCCTGTTCGTGCTGCTCGCACTAGTGGTCGTGCTGCGCGTCCGCGTCCTCCTGCGGTCCCCGGCACACACCAGATGACACTACGTCCTTCATATGCTCCTCTGCGTGTCCTGTTGCCGTCTCCTCCAAAGTCCTCTCTTCCTGTCCTTGCTGACCCGGATGTCAGAATATGTTGTTTGTGTAGCCTTCAGTGGGGCACTCAATAGTGAGTAAAGCCCCTTAAGGTTTGTTATTTGTATCCTGCTGATTGCTAGTTCCATTATTCCTTCTCAATTCTATTCTTGCACACAATCCTAGCTCGTACTTGGTGCCTCCTCGTTCTAGTCCTACTTGACGAGAAGTGAGAATGGATGAATGAACTATGAAATAGTTGGGTACAAGTACTAACCCTAATTGGGTTGTACCCCATATAGGCTATCCCACTACAGCCTACACAAATGTATAAGCTATAATGTTCTGACACACCCCCATAGGCAAAGTGGGGGAGAACTAGTGGTCACAAGACCAGTCAAGCAAAGCAAAGCAAAGCATAGCAAAGTAAGCTCAGGGTGGATCACAAAGTCACCACACAGTCCGAGCACAAGAGTAGGGCCACAAGGCCAGTTCACATGCAAGATCATATATATAAAGGAAAAACAAGCAAGGGCAGGTATAGAAAGAATACCGTACAAACAAGATCAAGAAGTGAGCAAGTGAGGCCAGGTAGGCACAAGACCTAGCACAGTACAGAAACGCTGATGATCACAAGGCGTAAGGGCCTTGGTCAGCAGTGTTGGCCTCAGAGGCCACGTAAGCATGGCGCAGCTGACCACGCTGCTGCAGCTCACGAGTAAGGAAGTAGCGAAGAGCAATGTGCCTTAACCCTAAACCCTAAACGTGCTCTAATCTGTGATCCCGACACAAGGCCAGCATGGCCTTGTTGTCTACGTACAGAACTAGAGGAGAACGAGGCGCCTCTCCTAGGTCAGTCAGAAGGTAGGTGAGCCAGCGTAGCTCCTGTGCAGCCATGGCCCCTGCGTAGATCTCAGCCTCACGGCTGGAACCGAGAACAGAAAACGAGCAGGTAGACTGCCACGAAACAGAGCCGGAGCCAAGGCAGAAGGTTTAACCCTGTGACGACCGCTGCGTAGCCTGGTCGTCAGCCCAAGAAGCGTCAGCGTGACTTGTGAGAACTACTCGACGTCGCCCTCTAAGCACTAGCCCCATGCCCGACGTACTGCACACGTAGCACGACACCCTCTTCGCTGCAGCCATGTGGTCTGGTCTGTGTCTCCCAGGAGCAACATAGCGTGCCAAGATGCTAAGAGGGTATGCAAGGTCAGGTCGTGTGCAGGTCATCAGGTACATGAGGCAGCCAACAAGCTCTGGGTACGGGCCACTCGGCTCTATGAACTCATCCGAAGGCAAAGCTGAGAGCGAGTAGTGAGTAGACAGAGGAGTGGCCTAAGGCGAGGAGTACGTGAAGCCGAAGCGCTGAAGGACCTGCTGCACCATGTGTGATTGAGTCAGGGTAATGGTGCGCTGTGCTCTGTCCCGAGTGATCTGCAAGCCAAGGTAGCTGCGCAGTTCACCCAGGTCAGTGCACGTGTGTCTCTTCTGCAGCTCCAACTTCACGTGGGCGGGTCCAGCAGTGTCAGCAGTGGCAAAGACCAAGTCGTCGACGTACACGAGGATGTAGAACGGTGGCAAAGAGGCGTCGGTGCGTAGAAACAGCGACAGGTCGGCTGTAGACGGAGCAAACCCAAGAGCCGCAAGTGTAGTCCTTAGTGTGTCGTGCCACTCTCGAGGCGCCTGGCGGAGACCCTAGACTTGCCGCCGGAGGCTCCACTGGGTACCAAGAGGAAACGAGCCAGTACAGCTAGGAGGGCGGCGCAGCCAGATCTCCTCGTGCAGGCTGCCCTGCAGGAAAGCTGTGCTGAAGTCGAGAGAGTGAAGCTCGTAGTCGCGCTGAGCGGCTATGTGCAGCAGCACCTGAAGAGTGGTCATCTTTGGG